AAAAACGATAAGAAAAAAAAAAAAGGGGGAAAAAAAGAAAAAAAGGAAAAGAAAATCCCCCTTTGGGCTTAAAATTTTTGTTTTTCCCCCCGCCAAAAAAGGTCCCCAACAAATATCCCCGCCCATCCCTTTTGGTTGGAGTGGTGGCGAACACTAGCTTTATTTTCCAGTCCATGTGCCCTCGTAACATGCACTGTCGAGAACCATCTATCGTACTACTGATTTTGTTCTTGAAACATACCTACAAAAATTTGATTTATCTATTGGTACCCATTTTTCTTGGTCCATAAAAGTTAGAATTTGATATCCTTGAGATATCCTTGGGAACCCACATCTTTTTTATTTTAGCAAAGGATTTCTTTTAATAGGACATGAAGGTGAAATATGACCTTTTGTTCCACAAAAATGACATGTGAGATGAGGTGATTAGAAAGATGCATATACAAAACCATTTTTGCAGTTTTTACTTTTGAAAACAGGTTTATATCCAATTCCGGCTCTACCAAAAGTACGGTTTTGATTTTTAAGAATTTTATCTAAAGTCTCTCTTACCTTGAGTGAACTTTGAAAAGAGTAGTTTTCAAGTCTTCAATATTTTCTTTTAAAATAATTTGCTCATTTTTTAAAGACTCGTTTTCTTTTTGCAATACAACTAAATGTTTTTCAGAAATTGAAGACTCTTTTGAGTTAAAATCTCCATTTTCCTTTTTCATTTTCATGGCTTTCATTTTCTAAAACATTTATCTTGGAAGTCAATGATTCATTTTCTTTTGATAAACTTGAAATTACTTTCTTTTGACAATTTATTTTTCAAACTAAGTTTCTTAAATTCTGCATGTAATTCATCAAAAGCTAATTTGTAATTCATCAAATGTAAAGGATCGTCATTACCTCATTTTCATTTCCAAGTGCCATTAAACATAGGTTAGCAACTCGTTTTGCAAACTTCGGTTTCTGTATCGCTTTCATCACTATCTTCTCCCATGCTGCAATCATAGCTTTCTTTTTGTCCTTCTTGAATTTTTCTTAAGTTCTGGACATTCTGATTGTAGTGTCCAGGTTTGTTGCATTTCATAGCAGGTTACTTCAGAATTTTTTGTGATTTTCTCCTCTTGAAAATCCCTGTTGTGAAGTCTTTTCTGAAAAAAATTTCGTACACCTTGTTTCTTTCTCACAAACCTTTGAACTTTCTAGTGATGATGCCATTTCCTCATCCTCATCTGAATCATCTTCCTTATCCTCTTGATGTTTCGAGGTGGATTTGAAAGCTATTCCTTCTTTCTTGTTGTTGTCCATCCTCTTCCTTTCCTTCTTGCATTATGAGCTCATGAGTTAAGAGAGGAGTCCCATTAACTCATCTAGACTTAGCTTTGATAAATCCTTGGGCTTCGGTAATGGCAATGACTTTTTGTCTCCCAAACTTTTTTGGCAATGACTAGCACTTTTCTTAACAATTTTCAGCATTAGTATATATTTTCCAAGAAAGTTAAAACCATAATAATATCAGTAAACGAGATAAACATTTGAGGAAATAGTTTCATCAGGGCTTCATTTTGTAAAAAGTTCATATTATGGACTAGCAAACTGACTCTAGATTCTTAACTTGTTCGGTTCCCTCATGAGTCACTATAAGCTTGTCCCCAAATTTCTTTGCGGTTTTAACATGTGGAAATTCTATTGAATCTCGTTGGCATCTAAAGCACGTACAACATGTTTGTAGCTTTGACATTAATTTGGGCCATTCTAGTATCTGATTCATCCACTCATCTTCAGGTTTTGGTACCCCTAAGTCCATCTATAGTTTTTGGTAGGAATTTTGGACCATTACAAATAATATTTACCAACATTCATAATCTATTAGATTGAATATGATGGTCATCCTAGTTTTCCAATAACTAAAATTTGTGCCACTAAAATAGAGGTGGCCATTAGATGGCTGTCCCTCGGGTAAGGATTAACTAGGGTTGCCATGATCTACTCTGAGACGGTTAAGTCACAAAAACTAGAGTCTAGGCTCTGATACCAATTGTTATCCAGTTAGGCAACCCAAAGGGGGGGTGAATTGGGTTATTAAAAATTTCACAAATATTCAGAATTTGAATAAATAAAAACAAACAGAATAATAATTATCAATATAAAAGTAGAAGAGATAGAGAGAGAAATCAAACACATGCGATTTTATAGTGGTTCGGCACGCCAGGCCTACGTCCACCCCAAGGAACCTCCTTGAGAATTTCTTTACTATCAATGAATAAAACACCACCAAGCTTGTGGATTTGGCACAGGACTTACTCTTATCTATTGAGCCTCACTCAACAATAAATGCCTTACCCTTACAAAATCTCTCACAAAAATAAGGAATAAGAATAAGTGGTAATTGAACCCACTTTTACAATAATCTCTCCAAAGAGTAGATATGAAAGTGTAAGAACAAAAACTAGACTTAGATCTGAAAGTGAAAGAGAAGAAATACAATTTTGAGCTCACAGAAAATTTTCTTCTTCAAGTTCTTGATTTTTTTCTCCACATCCAACACCTCTATTTATACACAAAAATATCCCGTTGGACACTCCTTGCTGACGTCATGGCTTACAATAAGCACGCTCCTGACGTCATCGCTTACATAAGCACGCTCTGATGTCATCCATTACATAAGCAGGCTCTTGATGTCATTGCTTACATAAGCACACTCCTTAAATTTAAATAGTCAGCAAATGATAAGAATTAAAAAGATAAAAATAGATTGATTTTTTCTTCTTGTTTTTTTTTTTTAAACATGGAGCCACCGGTTTTTGTAGACAATTTAATACAAAGTTCACAACTTTCAAAAACAAACAATAATTTTTCTCCATCTAGTTTATAATATATATTTAATATATATACATACATATAACTCCATCTTGTTCTTCTTGTTTAATTTATAATATGATATAATTAATGTAGTGTAAAAAATTTAATAGCGCACGTGATGTATTCTGCATATAATGTTATATAAGTTCTGATCAAAATTTTGCATACAGAAAAATCTCTATAAATAATATTTATGATGGATCTGAAAATATATGTCATCTTTAAAAATATGTATATGTTGTAAAGATTTTAAACTAAATGTATTTTACCACTCCATATTAATTTTGTCAAAATAAGACAACCCATAAATATCAAATTTGTCAAAATAATACAACCAATCAATCATTTTTGTCAAATAATATAATTAATCAATTTGTCAAAAGATGAATAGTAATTAACCATATTTTTCAAAAAGTGAATAGTAAAGTTTTTGAAAATATTTAAAATAATCATTTTTGTCAAAATAATATAATTAATCGATTTGTCAAAAGATGAATAGTAATTAACCCTTATTTTCAAAAGTGAATAGTAAAGTTTTTGAAAATATTTAAAATAATATTTAACATATATATTTTAAAAGATAATATTATTTTATTTAAATAATATTTAACAAATATATATTTTTAAAAAGATATAATTTGTTGTCAAATAATATGTTATTAACTAATATATTTTAGACATCTCAAAATTAAATAATATGATTAACAACTGTATTGGCTTCCGCCAGGCCCTGTACTCTGTTTTACTGTATTACTGTTAAGTAGGCCTTGCGTAATCTCGGATTACTGGCCGGTTACGGTGCTAAACCCATAGGGCCGGGTTTGGGTCGTGACAGCGGTGGGTGGTGATGGTGGTTGGTGGGTGACGGTGGTGGGGTGGGTGTAGCGAGTGGATAGTTGTGGTGGTGGCGGGGCGGGTGGTGGGTGGTGGTGGCAAGTGGTGGCAGATGGCGGGTGGTTGGGTGGGTGGTGGCGGGTGGTGCGAGTAGGGTGCGGTGATGGTGGTAGTGGGTGGTAGGTGGTGACGGTGGTAGGGTAGCGAGTGGGTGGTGGTGAGTAGTTGTGGTAGGTAGTGGCGGGTGGGTGACGGTGGTGGTAGTGGGTGTGGCGGTGGTGTGGCGGTGGGTGGGTGATAGGTGGCTGGTGGCGGCAGATGGTGGATGGTGGTGGCAGTGGGGTAGTGAGTGGTGATGGCAAGTAGGTGGCGAGTGGTGGTGGCGGGCGGTGGATAGTAGTGGCGGGTGGTGGGTGGTGGATGACAGGTGGGTGATGGGTGGTGGTGGTGATGGTGGTAGTAGTGGCAAGGGGTGGGTGGTGTGGCGAGTAGGTGGCAAGTGGGTGGTGCGCGGCAGGTGGGGGGTAGGTGGTGGTGGAAAATGGTGGCGGGTGGTGTAGCGGAAGACGGTGGTGGAAAATGGTGGCGGGTGATGGCTAGTGTTGGGTGGTAAAAAAAAAAAAACTGAAAACTCAAAATGAAAACACTTTTTTGTGTTTTCATTTTTTGGCCAAATTGATAAACTGAAACCACTGATTTATATAAATCAAAAATTTTACCAAACAAGTTTTTATTTGAGTTTTTAAAATTTTTGCAAATATAAACAGAAAACTTGAAAACGTAAGTGTTACCAAACAGCGTATTCTTGAAATATAAACACGTGATACTTTGTAAGGTTTTGATTGGTAGAGAGGGGTAGGGGCTCACGATTTATGTTGAGGATGGAGGAATAACGTTGAGGCTAAGTAATTGCTAATTGACTTGAAATATGGTCACGTGATATTCCGGGATTATTGAATAATTTCCCTGTAGAAAATAAAGAAAACTTAAAATTCAAAATTTGAAAAAAAAGAAAAAAGAAAAAGAGTTAAGAATTATTATGGTAATTCAAACCCAATTTGGCTGTTTAAAATAAAAATATAATATCATTAAATGTAAAAATTTAAAATGATTTGAGGTAATACTGTAAGGTGGTGTTTTGTTTTGAGGGATTGAAGGGTGTGATTAGATTATTATCCCATTCGGACTATTAGTCCCAAATTCATTAGACTATTGTGTCCTATGGAGGGGGTGGGACACAAATAGAG